ATGACTGGAATTGCATTGAAATGAGACTCCTTGGGGTGTATAGGTAAATCTTGGCAGGACTATAAGATCAAGGAGGTACTTTGAGGTTACCTGGATATAACACAGCTCAGTAGGACCGCCTGGTGGTTGGAAGGCGATTCTCAGTGAGCGTTCGTGCGGCTCCATGGCCAGCGTTTCAGTTCTGTCTCGTCGTCTTTCTCCGATTAAACTCGGAACGAAGCTAAAGTGAAGGCTTTCCTTTCAGGACCGTTTCTTTTCTGGTAGTCCTCGAAATTAATCACCATTTTTTCGTGGTACCTGCAGGTTTGAATCTGAGCTCTGAGACCCACGTGCTCTGCAGACTCTTGTAAAGCCATTGGGGGAAAGAAGGGTGCGGGGCTGGCTCCTTCCCGCTGCTCCCCGGTGGGTTCTTGGTGGGGCTGCCCCTGTGCTTTGGTCTTCTCCAGCTGGTGTGGGCCCACACCTGGCTTGACCACGCTTTGATAGTGAGACTGCGGTTTTTTTGTTCTTACCTGCTAGATTCTCCACATACAAGATCAGTGGAAATGCTAACGATCACTGTCACGTGTAAATATGAAGTTTAGTTAATAAGCTTAACTGGAAAATGCCTCTGTAAAAAGAAATTAATAGCAATTTAACCTCTACTTGGTAGTAATACCTTAATAGCCATGGTGACAGTGGATATTCTGCACCGCAGGTACCTTTGAAAGCCACTCATTTATGATACTTTGTACAACACAGGGCGTTCTGAACTGGTTCCAGAAAAGGCATTTCTTTGTGCTTCTAAATTACGTTTACTGTTATTTGAATGAAGAATATAAAGAATTTTTGCTTACCTTTTGGGTTGGAGGACGGTTCATGGAAACGGTTGTAGTTCAGACAATGTTTGTAAATCATAAGCTGTTACTGTTGTTTTCATCTTCCTTCTCTTTTCACTTAAACGCAGTCTTTATTTGGTGCCGAAATCCTCCTCCTGGTTTGTTTTTCAAATCCTAGATACAGAGTAGCTGTTAGCGCCATTCATTTGTAAGCGCGAATCTCTTCCACTCCGGGGCTGCATTCCAAGGACCCGCTGGGGAAGCGGCTATTGGCTGGGGGGCGGCAGCCCCCCGGCGCCCTGCGGGGGGGGAGGTGTCCCGCGCGCTGCGCTCGCTCGCAGCCAGCCGAGCCCAGGCAGTTGCGTAGGTTCCCTGACCTTTGAATGCCCTAGCAGGAAGTGAAAAGGCTCTAGCTAGTCAGCTGTACAAGAGCTGGGTGCATGCAAGCAAACTCAAGATGGATGCCAAAATTGGTTAGTGTCTCTCTCTCTCTCTCTCTCTCTCTCTCTCTGTCTCTCTCTGTCTCTGTCTGTCTGTCTTTTTATTTTACTTACTGCATATGAATTTAGACCTCTAGTAAATCTCGAGGCTTTTCATTTCCCTTTCCAAAAAAGAGAGGGTTGTTTGATTCAAAATATTTTTAAAAGACTTTCAGGTTAAATATATTTAAGCACTTCTTTTTTTGTCACGCAAAACAATATGAAATTGCTCAGCTTTAAGTTAAATGGCTGTGAGAGAAAGAAGAGACTTCAGAAAATACAGTGAAGATTCAACCTCCTATCACGGCACTTGCTTTAAAAGCAAAATGTAATTGGATGAGTTCTGCATGTAAGGCACGGATGCTAGCAGTACTATTTTTAGATATGCCAAGCGGCAGTTCGTGCTTACCAAATGTAGGCAGCTGTTCTTGCTTTAGAATAGGCCTGGAATACTTACATTAAATGCATGAGATTATAGTGTATAAAATTAAGACATTTTCCATGAGGAAAGATACTGCTTTGTGGTGCTGGTCTTGAGAACAGGTTGGGTGGGAGGTTTTGTGTGTGTGTGTGCGCGCGACTTTCTTGGTTTGGGGAGTTTTTTTGTTTGGTCGGTTTTGTTTGTTGTTTTAATTTGCTGTGAATATGTTGTGTTCAAGTTACAGCCAGAAAGCTGCTTCTAGTAATGTGTGGTTTTTTTTTTTTTTTTTTAAACCGTAAGTTTACTTCAGACAGAAACGTAAGCACCTGTTTCTGATCAACTGGAGAATGTAAATCCATTTCCAATTTTACTCTCCTGGAATAAGAACTACAAATCAGTTTTTCAGGTGACTTTTACAACACTGAATTTGTCTTTGAAGAGTTTACAATGAAACAAGATATATGTGTAGCTACGTGAGGTTTATTTGGTAGTTGACCAAAGGGAGTAGAGACAAAGTGAGGAAAAAATGCTTATGTGCAGCTTAACTTTGGTCTGAGAGATCCTAGCTTAGTGACTTCAGCGGTTGATTCCTGAGAACAAAAGACTTGAAGATGGGTTACTTTTTGGCACTAGTCGTATACTTTAATTTCAGAAACTTGCTTTTGTATCTCATTTTGGAAACTGTCGTACAACTGAATTTTTGTCTTTACGTGTCTTATAAGTAAGTTCATGTACGGCGTGTTACCACTTGCAATAAGTGATTTTCCTATGAAGTGGTGAGAACCCACTATCAGTGCAGACAATTTAAAACTGTGTGAAAGAGGAGGGAGCATCTCATTAAAAGAGGTAATGCTGTCTGCAAAAGGAGAGGAGTAGGGCAATTCTTAGTGTCACATGATGTGGAAGCATCACCCAAATCTTAACATACAGCTGCTCAAATTACAATGTTTCAAATAAGTGTAAATTAAGTACCTGAAGCAAATAGAAATAAATGAGATTTTTTGAAAAATTTTTACAAGATCTAGGAGCAAAAGATCTGCCAACTTTTTTGGTAAGATCATTTTTGCAGATTGCACCTAGGTATTATGGATACTCAAGCTCAACTCGAGTAGGAGTCTTCAGTTCATAGTCATTTATAGGTCAAGCCTGCAGGCTTCGCCATAACCACCTTTTTTACACATTGAACTTGCTAACATAATTTGTTACCAAGAAACTTTTGTAGTCTAAAGCAAAGCCAAAGAAACCAAAGAAAACGTCCTTCAATTTGGGGTTATGGGTCATAGCAAAGGAGTTGTACTATAATTTGGTTACTTTCATTTGTTGTTGTTGTTGTTTTTTTTTTTTTTTATTTTAAATAAACTCTAAAGAGTGGTACTTGCTTTGGCTTAGAACTTCATTTGTTTGCCAGGGAAAATAGAAACGCAGCTTCAGTGTAACGTGAAGAGACCCAGTGCAGTAACAGGTCAGCAGAGCGCATGGAAACTCTTGGGAGTGGATAGGTTGGGCTGCAATTTGACAAGTGCTTTAAATCACTGCTGTTCTGAGAGTAGTGGTGTCACCTCCTCTAGTTGGCTACTCTTCCTCTCACCCCTCGTGTTTGTGGAGTCCCATGGTGAACTACATCAGGAATCTGATCTGCCTGACTGCGTGGGCTTGCTTTATTTTATTTTATTTTATTTGCTGCATTACTAGTCACCTGAATACAAGAACCAGGGAAGGGAACAGGATTGAGCGGTGGTGGAAGGGTGAGATTCTTTCAACAGCAGTTTTGGTTTATAATAATGAAGGTATTCGTGAATCTGTAACCTGTGGAGTTTGTGTAGAGTCTGTGAAAACTTCTACTTGAAACTCTGATTAACACAAAATATTTTATTCAAGTATTTATGAAAGTGGCCTCTTTAGGTTTAAGACCAGAGTGCTCATCTCTCCAGTGCTTGCTCTTCAGTTCAATTTCTCTACTGAAATAACTAGAAAAAGACTTCAGCTTCTGAAACACTGTGAAATTGCGTCATAGCACCAGTGGCATTTTCATGTTATACCTCTACAAAAGAATTATGCAGATTTGCTTTGCAATGGCTAGTAAGTTTTTAACGGTGTGTTCACATTTCTGTCTTGTAATACTCAAATGTTATTTTCAGAATAAGAATCTGCTCTGAATTGTGATATGCTATTTTACAGTTAATTTCTGTGATATCAAGGATGAGATAGGCTTACTGAGCTTTTGCAATTTTTGTGACTTAGTTTTTCTGTGATGCGTCTTGAGTGCTGTATCTAATAGCTCTTACACTATCGCTAATACTAAGTAGGTTTGATGTGGAAAAGGAAATTATTTTTGTGAAAATGAAATCAACCGTGGAAGTAGAAAATATTACAGAGGGAATTTTATTGAATATCTCACAATGAAGTGTAAAACTGAACTAGACTAGGTGCCCCTGCACTGTTATGTACTCAGCAGTGGAGAACGATGCTTGGCAGGTATTGTGAATCCAAAAAGGTAATCGACCTGATGCAACAGCACTTGAAAAAGATGAAACTGCAATGGGCATACTAAGCTGTTGCCTGTGACTTGTGCAAGGGTATGCTTTACTCTACAGAATGATGCTTAAAATAGCATCATACTATGTCCTTGCTTGTATCTTGATGAATATCACTTCGAAGGAAATAAGCTTTTTTTTTTGTTTGTTTTTTACAAATGAAGTATTTGTGTATTGTAGTGCTGCAGATTTAAGCTAAACTGAAAATTCAGTGAGATGATTCCCTCTTGGTGGCCCATCATCCCTAATCAGTTTTATATACACCCATGGGAATGCTTTCAGTCAAAAACAAAACAAACTGTTAATGACACTCGGCCTCCATTGGACCTGCAAAGGTGTGACGGTTTAGGGAACAGTTGGCGTTAGTGTTGTATGCCCTAAAAGGGAAACAAAAATCAATCTCTTCAGTGAATAACCTCTGCAAAACCCACAAGAATTAAATGAGGTGAAGCACAAAGCAGAGTGGAAAAGAGTAGCTGAAGAGATGAATTTTGATGTTGCTTTAGGGTATTCTTAAATTTTAGCAATTTCATTTGAGGTAATCCTAGTAATAATGCTAAAAATCTGATGCAAATGCAAAATCAGTGCTAAAATAGCTTATTTTTAGTTGTAATTTCAGCTGTGGTTTGACAATTGCAGTCTTGAATTCTAATCTTAAAAGTCTCAGCAGTCCAGTGAATCACATTTACTGTCATCTTATGGATGCGAGAGGTATCTTGTTCTAATTTCTTACCTTTTTAACTTTTAGTTGTTGACCTCCTTTACTGGCGAGACATTAAGAAGACAGGAGTGGTGTTCGGTGCCAGCTTGTTCCTGCTGCTTTCATTGACAGTGTTCAGCATCGTGAGTGTGACAGCTTACATTGCCTTGGCCCTGCTGTCTGTGACGATCAGCTTTAGGATATACAAGGGAGTTATCCAGGCAATCCAAAAGTCCGATGAAGGCCATCCATTTAGGTGAGGTTATTCTTTTAATAAAAAAGTGTTTTGTTTGGGGCATAGCACTATCGATCCTATTAAAAGCATTTGATGACGTATGCCATAATGTTGTACAGTAATGTAAACATCCTCTGTACTGAAAAGTCTTTTATCCAGACTATGACTACTTCCCCTTCCACCCCCTTCGTTTTTCCTCAGTAGGCATACAAAATGGTAAGGAAAATGCGTTGAGGACTTGGTACAAGGGATTTCCCTTGGAAAGCAAAGTAATGTCAGGTTGCATAAAAACCTTATGTGCTCCAATGTAATGGAATAATATGCACGTTTTAAAATGATATAGCTTTCAAAATGTGAACCAGTGACAGATGGTTTACAAATCTGAAGAACAACCCAAGGGAGAAGCTGCGCTAAAATTTTTTTTTTTATTTAGGAAAAATGAGAATAAATATAGCAGAGGATGCTTTAAGCATGTGCAAAAAGATTCCTTTTTGAAATGTTTTAAAGAATCTTCTTAACATTTACTTTTGGATGTATAAGAGCACAGCCGTGTTCCTCATGTGTAAAGCTGCCCTGTAATCGGCTGTTTAGATTTGGAATTCCGGTTCATTGCAGCCTGCCCAAATAACAAATCCAGAAACTTGGTCTTTGAAGAAAATTAAAGGGTTGAATTACTGATGAATTAGTTTAGGTTCTCAACGAGATGAAGCTGTTTGTTTTAAGAGATAAGCTAAGTCCTTAGGGCATACCACGTATGCGTTACCCATATTCCCACATTGCAGGGAATCTCTGATATACACACTTTTTCCTGTGTAGAGTATGGTAGTACCTGTTATTGTAGAGTTGCATTTTAAGAGAAATAAAAACATAGTAATGTGTGAGAGTAATTACTAAGAGTGCGTGTTTCCTATTTCAATACCAGCTCTGTCCCACGCTATCCATACTTGCTTCTCTCCTTTTTTAATGAGTGATGTGATTCAGTCTCTATTTCCCTTGCACCTCTCAAACTTCTACTTTCCCCCACTATTTCCAGCTGTTTCAGTAATTTGGTGGTGTTGCCAATTATTCTCATTCTCTTCTCATCGTCAATAAGTCAAAGGTTTTCTCAGGTTTACCTCTATTCCTCCCTGACCGTATGTAGTGGCTCTTGTACCCGGCAGAAGCCAACCTCAACCTAAAACACAGGTGCAGGACAAAACTCTGGCAAAAGGGAGTATTTGCTTTCAAGTTTTTGTTCTGGTATAAAAATATATCTGAACAATTGGCAGGAAGGTTCACTATAGCAGTGTTAAACTTCTGCCTTTTGTAAACTCAGTTCCTATTTTTCACTCTCAAGGCGTTTTGTGGCACTCCTTTGTTTCTTATTAGGATGAAGCATTCCCCCTTGAAATCTTGTTTGTTTTATCCACCCAGTAGTCCTCTTTAGTAGCCAAACAGCATTCCCGAGTTGACCAGTAAGTTCTTTCTTAGGAAGAACAACCAGAACTTGCTCTACCCGTGCTTTTTTTATTTCTAAGAATACTGATATTCCTGAGAAACTTCCAGACATCCTTGTCCAACATACCTGCTTGTTTACCTTTCATATGTGTAGCTTCAGCTGCAAGAAGGATGTTTAGACGTGAATTCAGTTTGACAGTGAAGAGCGCATCCATGTGATCAATTTACTTTTTGGTTCAGATAGTGAGTATCTGGCTGATGAGCTAAGAGGGGTGTGTGGGTTCAAGCTAAGTGTGGATAGCAGAACACAGCTATGCAGCCTTGAAATGGCTGCCCTATGTAGTTGCCATTTAAAGTATTTGAATTTGTTCTGGGACTTACTGCAACATCGTATTTAGCTTTCCCTTAAAGGATATAGGCAGGAGTCTCCACTATGCATTTTTCTGTCTGAAAGAACAGCAACCTTGTAGGACGTCTTTCATTTTTCTGAGAAATATAGAATAGTCTGGTAGAATATTAGACTGTCTTAAGGGCTTTCTTTTTTCTAATACAGTAGCAAAAACCAGAGAGTGATTCGTTTTCTCTTTTTCATTTTATTACTTTTTTTTTTTTAAACAAACATTAACCTTATTACTGTAACGGATGCCAGCACGTGCTGAGGAGTAGTAAGAGACTTGCATAGGCCAAACAGCGTGTGCGTCAGTGGTGCAGGACACTGTTTTGGCCGCTCACACGCCTTGTAGTCTATGTTCTCTAGCACGTTAGCCAGTGCATCCTTCTTTTTTTCCTCCTTGAAGTCTAGATAAAATTCTGTGTGAGACTTGGTAAATACAGTAGCACAATATAGCGGTGAGAAGGAAAGATGATGATGATCTTTTTAAAAGTTGCTTTTTTTCTCTCTTTTGGAGGTTTGCTTTTACCACCTAAGAACAACTTAGGTTAGGCCTATTCTGTCTTTTTAGTACTCCTCATACTGTGACGTTTTTCTGTGTATAACAACTTACTGTGTGGTGATATTGTTGTGTTGGCAGAAGTTCATAGTGAAGATTCACGCTCTCCCCTGCCCTCCCCTTCTCCTTGCAGGGCTTACCTGGAATCTGATGTAGCTGTGTCTGAAGAGCTTATTCAGAAATACAGTAATGTTGTGCTTGGTCACGTTAATGGCACAGTCAAAGAGCTGAGACGCCTCTTCCTAGTCGATGATTTAGTTGATTCTCTGAAGGTAAGTTTACTTTAGCTGTAGAGATGACAGCCTTGTGCTGCTATGTAAATATATTCTGTGCAGGCCTAGAAGGTTAGCACAGCCTGCTCTTCATTGTAAATGTGAATGAACAGTAACATCTTTGGCTCTGTATAAATAAATACTGAGTTTTGTCTGTTGGAAGCATTGCGCATTTTGACTTTGGCTTTTTAAGGAGTATATTCAATTCTTAATGTGAATTCTTAAGAGAATCCTGTAAAGTTCTGCATGCAGTAATAGAGTGACTAACTTTATTTGCACTTTTGACAGTACAATAAAAATGATTAGAAAACTGCAATAAGCTCCGGCTGCATGGAGGTTGGCCATTACACCTCCTTGCTGGTGCTTAAAAGCAAAACCCTTTTAAGAAAACAAGACGCTGCTTCAGTATGGCCCTCTGAAATGTGTCACTGCAATATATCTCTTACTCTTAAAAATCTGTTTTTAGGGCTAGATTGGCACAGTCAGAGTTTGGTTTTGTTTTCTGTACTGAGACTAGTGAGAGGCTACACTAGAAGTCTTTATGTCTACTTTGCTGTTTGCCTTTGATGAAGAGGAAGATTGGGGACTGAGTGATGCCCCTTATTTTGCTAGCAAGGTGGACGCTTTATTTTGGTCTCAGGGGTTTGTTTACCGTATTGGAGGGAGATTTGGATGTGAATAGCTGTTTCTTTTAGCAATGCAAATTACTTAAATGTTGTTTGCAAGTTACTTTGCCTAAAACATGCAATACTGACTAACTGGTATCTCAATATGTCCAAGCAGTATTTAATGCGCTTTACTGAGTGTAGCGGAGCAAAATTAACAGTAAAAAATGAGGCGAAAAAAGGTTGAAGATAGTTCAGTTTTGTTCTGTGACAATTGCATGCTTTTCTTTCAATCTTATTGTCTTTGTTTTTCAAATAATTGTTTACATTACTGAGTTCAACTTGTCCATTGATTTTTTTTTTTTTCAGTTTGTTTAATCTTGAAATGAAGTTGCATTTATATTTCAGTAAATCTCTGCTTTAGAAAGTGCTTTGTAAAGTCCTTTGAGTTGTTGTCAGGGTTGGGGGAAGAGGTTCTTAGTGAAGCTTAGAATAATAGGAAGGTTCCTGTAAAAGTCTTTGCATTTTGCCATGGAAATTGGAGGCAAATCTGTGAATCCTACTCACCGCTTCTAAGTCCCGTTTCTTATTGTGTTTGTGCTTCAACACAGTGAAGGGTTTGTGCTGCTGCTGCTGTAAACGTGACCGTTGTAGCTGTTGTGCGAGTCTCCCACAGTAGGAGTCCTTTCCCTCTGGAGAACAGAGATTGTTAAGTGCTCAGGCTGGTACCAGGGTTCTGCTGCTTGTGATATGGACTCAGTTCCACAAAGGGAGAGTGGAGAGTAGATGGGATATTAGCCTGGATTTCATGTAATAATCTTCCTGCTTCTGGAGGTTCTTATTTTCAGGTTGTGATATTGTACACAATTGATACTGCTACAATCATTTCATGGCAAAGTGGCTTAAAAGGGCCAGTTGCTGTCTGTGCCTTGCTGATGTTTCCTGCATTTTGATGGTGATCCTCTTTCTGTCACCCTATTGATGTATAGGAAGCTGTGTCACCTCCATGCTTCGGTGACTGAGTCACTTAGGATTCATCTCTACAGCATCGTGGCCTTGACCAAAAGAATTATTGTTGCATGACCACAGTTGCATTTTTGATCACTTAAATTTAGGGGGGGAGGGGAGGAGAAAAGAACATACTCTTTTATTTATTGTGTTTTAAATGCCACTAAGTTTCAGTGTTCAAAAAAAGGTTATTTTGCTTTAAGTTTTGTTTGTATCTGATTAAAACTGGGCGCATCATAGGAAAACTTATGATCACAACAGAGCTCTTTATATTTCTTTAACAACTGTGAAACCCTTTTTGGTACATTCCCTCATATGTTATGAGGATTTCCACACCATTTTTATAGTGGTCACAATCCCTTCCAGTCAAGGGAAGGGAAGCAGCGAATGGCTCTTGTAGTTAACGCTGTCTTTGAGAGGAACGCCATTAGAGCAAATGATGTTAGCAGTAGAATTCAGTCCAGACAGAATGTCTTCAAGGCACTCCAATCGCTTTTAAAATAGCATGGTATAGAGGAAAGAGATGTTTCTTCAGCTGAACTAATTCATTTTCCCTCTCTTCTTCTAGCATTTGAAACATTTTATGTAGGTTAATTAGTCTAATTTATAGTTGCTTATGTGAAAGCAGTGAATGTCAGGACAGTTTACAAGCAGTTACTGATTTGAAGAGTTTGTGCTTGAGGAGAACATTAAGATGCTGAGGTTTTATGTAACATAACGGACCCGATTTGAAAAAAACAACCAAACAAAAAAACAACAAAAAAACCCACCCCGCTACTTGGATCATGTAATTTAAATATCTTCACTATAGGAAACAGCATGTTTGTATATCATTAAAGTTAGAGCTTTATTGTAGAATCTGTCTGCAGGCTGGTTTATTGTGTGTAACAGTTCTAGCTGTAAAATCTGTCTCAGTGTTAAGGTTTTTTCCTTTTTTATTAAACAACGCTTCAGTCATGAAAGTTAAAATGGATTCTAAATATTTATGCTGCACAGGGGAAAGTTCCTTGCAATTTTTCAGCTGTAATTCCAAAAGAGCCCTTGTCAGAGTGTGCCAGGAAAAACTGCACTTTGTCCTGATACGCAGCAATCTGGTGATTCATCCTTCACTGCGCAATCAGTAGGGTTTCTGTTCTGACACTGGGGCAAGTTGCTTTCAATTTATCATTGCTCAGCTGATGTTTTTGAAATAGAGCTCTTTGCTATATTTGAACTTTTGCAGTAAAGAGTTGACACATGGGCATTCTTGATTTGTCATTAAATTGGATGATGCTTTGGGTTGCTGGGGAGTCATTGGCATAAGGTAGGCACAAACTCGGTCCGATCTATCAGATATATCGGTTTCCTCTTTGCGTACTGTTGCAACTTGCAGACAGTGAACTTGGGCCATCACTTTCCCTTCTGTCCTTTGAGTGTGTAGGAAGAGCAGAATTGTCTTTGTAGGTCAGTCCTGGGTTGCCTTCTGCTTATTTTCCATCTTAGAGCTCAGAGTTCCAAGTGTTTAAACATATTTGTGGTAAGCCTTCCGGCACTGGAACGTTCTCTGACTTCGTCTCCTTCCTAAGAAGAAGGAGGGAGGAAAAGAAAAGAGACAAATACGTAAATGGGAGTTCAGATCAGCTCTACTTAATTCCTGGCGTCTTCCCTGTGTGTTAATTGTCAGAAGCATGTAAAGAGGGGGGGTTCTGTGTTTCTTGCTGAACTTAATTTGCTTTGGTGGCCAGAGCTTTCAAAACAGGAGCCGTCCCTTACTGAAGATTTGCTGTCAGCAGAAGGCAGGTGGCTGGTTTCGCTGGGGCTGTAGCTCTTCCTGCCCGATACGAATAAGTGAAGTGGATAAAAACTGCGCACACAGCCCGGGGTCGTTATTAGACCCTGCCACTGCTTTGAACGGACTTTAGGAGGAGCAAAGCCTGTGTTGGTCAAATGTCAATTCCTCCGTTTTATTTGGCCATAAATTCAGTGCTTCCTTAATTAGGCTGAATATTTTAGTGATAGTTGTGACGATTGTTGGACTTCAGGATTGATTCATGTCTGGTACCCCTCTGCTTACGTGACCTCAAGTTTTCTGACTTAGTCTTTAGTAATGTTACTAAATGTTTACCTGACTAGGCTGGTGCTTCACTTCTATAATCATGTTCCTGCAGAGAATATTTTGGATAGCTGTCAAGATGCTTTTCTGTGCATGCTTGAAGCCAGTACGTTTACTGTACTGAATGCACAAAGTGTAAGAGAAGTCTCTGTTCAGAATGATCATAAACTTGGATTTTCTTTGCTGAAGTAAAAGTTGTACTTTCCTCCCTTTGAGAAGGGGATGTGTTGTATGTACAGACTTGCTTGGAAAGCAGAACGTTTGAATGCTCCATTAAAACGTGTTGTGCAAAGTGGCCGGCAGCCAGCTCTTGCCCTGGCATTGCAGAGAGCAGAACTGGGCCAAGGTTTGAATGAATCATGAGGGAGCCTAGAGAAATGGGAGTGCAGTGGATGATAATGTTGCAGTCTTGTCTCATGCTTAACTTCATGCCGCTAGTGCTACTTGCGTCACATCTAGAAGGAACTGAGAGATAAAGAACTGCATCACTTGCAATTAGTCCTAGTTGATTTTGAGTGGGACCAGACTGACCAAAGATCCTGAAGTACTAACTCTTTATTTCATTACAGGGCTCATGCAACTAAATTTGAATTAATTCTCATGCCCTTACCTTACTGTTGGCTGTTGTGTTGTTTAGTTTTGTTTGATTTGGAGATATGCATCTTAAAAGAAACTAAAAATGGATGTTTGGATCCATAGTTTCTGAGTAACTCTGCTGTAGTCTAGATCTTTGCTCTCTTCTGTTTCATCCCGTACCGCAGTCCTTCAACATCCTTTTCTGTTTCTCCTTCCAGTGCTTTGTACCCATCTTGCAGTTTTGTGTGTCCCCTGTTTGTTGGAGTGATTCACCTTCAGCTGTTATCTTTGCCTAGGTCTTCTCTCGCTGATGCCAGCTGCAGCCTCTGCACCATGTCTGTATGGCTGCTCCAGTGTTTTGTGGTGTCTTTCACGGAAAACAACCAGACGTGCTTAGTTGATTTGAGGGCCAGGGATCTCATCTGTGCTCTGCACAATGCAAAGCATAATTCAGTGCTTAGCAAGTAATAAGCACAGCTAAATCTGCTACATCTGACATCCAAATCCAGCTTCTGCTCAGTTGCAGATGGACTGTGCAACACTAGAAGAAACCAGCTAGTTTTCCTTGTGGAGGAATCCTACACAGAAATAGAGCTGGCAGCCTTCAGCCCCCCTCTCGCCCCAGCATAGGTCAGAGGTATGCTTGGGACAGGCTGTGGCCCAGCACTCTCCACCTGGCAGAAAACTGAGGGTTTTTAATTTCTGTAGATCTTTGTGTAAAACTAATGAAGCGGAGCAGAGACTGTGCACAACAGCAGATTTGTCTTGAGTGCAGTGGCAGCGGGGAAGGAACAATGTCTAGGTATGAGTTAGGGTATGAAGCCAGAAGTCGGAGCAGTGCAATGGTTTAGGTGTCTGTTAACAGAAAGCCATCTTTGCTTCTGAACTTGTCTCTGACTTAAAACTTTCTTCCATGGCACTATTGACTGCTTTCCTGAATGTTTTAGTACCCAAAGACTCTGGATAAAAAGCCAAACAAGCCCACCTTGCCACGTTACCTCCCAGACAGCTCTTTCACCCTGATGTGACAGAAGCCCCTGCCTGGTCTAGTCCACAGTTCGTTGAAACCTTTGCTGAGCTGAAGTGCGGTTATGATAGTTTGGGCTTGAGCTGCACCCAGGAGTGGGTGAGCTCCTGGACTGGCTGCTGAGCTGCCACCAAGCAAACACCTTGCTTGTTTCTGGCTCTGTCACTGCATGCCGTGTCACATGCCATCCCTTTAACCTCTCACTTGCGTGTCTTGTCTCATCTCCGTGAAGGGTGGAGGTCGGAGTGGTGTTTGCTCATTGTTATTAAATGCTGATTTGGAATTGCTGTATACATGCAGAGGGCATTGAGCAGCCACTAATACTAACAGCTTTTGGTCACTGCTCACTTGGGCTGTATTCAGCCAGGTGACCTAGAAGCAAGAGGCCACACATCCTATTAATAAACCCTTCGGCCGTTTAGTCACTCATCTATAATTATATTTGATATAGAAATATGAAATAGAGTTGGGGGTTTTTAGCTTCATATATGTGTTTAGAGAAGTTATCTCACCTAATGGTCTAATTCATACATTCTTGTAAGACCGATTGTGGGCTAATACGTTTTTTTCCTTTTAGTTTGCAGTGTTGATGTGGGTATTCACTTATGTTGGTGCCTTGTTTAACGGTCTGACATTACTGATACTGGGTAAGTGTTTTAAATTGTGTTAAAATACCTAGCATACAAACTAACAACCCTGGAAAAGTACTGAAGTCAGCTCGATACTGTGAGGCTGTTCCTATGTTACTTAAGAGCATATCAAGACGATATAATTGTGTGTCCTTTTTCTAGGACATTGATATCAGTGCAGAACTGAAGTTTTGAATCGCGTTGCTGAACTCCTTGAGGTTGCTGATTCTCCAGACAATGTAGCACCATTTAAAAGCACGTTCATTTGTGCTTATCCCTTTGAGGGTTAGCCTTACTTTGATATCATTGCTGTGTTGTAACTTTGAGGAGGTACACACCTGGCTTTGGTCATACCCCGCTGAAGATAGAGTTTCCGTTTCTGGTATTCTAGAGCAGGTTGACTAGAGGTATCAGATACGTAGAGTGGCATAACCACAAGCCTAAGTGTCCTTTTTGAAGAATTTGCAAAACCTGCAGTGAGAATGTAAGCTGTGATCAGAGTCACTGTACGGTTAACAAGACCTGGAGAATTCTGCAGCTTTTCCTCATAGGAACTATTTAAATTACCCGCCAACAATTTTTGTATGTGGTTTAGTTATTTCTTTTTCTTCTATCTTAAAAAACAGAACAAAACAAAAAGTCACCCTCTGAAAACTACTCTGTTCTGTATGAACACCATTCCTTTTGTCAATACTTGCACCTTTGGTCTGTTCTTTTCCAGCTTTGATTTCGCTCTTCAGTGTTCCTGTTATTTATGAGAGACATCAGGTGAGTGTTTAATATGATTATTAAATATACCATAAAAATTAGTTTTTTTGGTATGAACTTTGGTTTATTTTTAGTTCTCGTGTTTAGTCTTTAAGCTTTTAAAACATAGGTCTTTTAACCATGAGTCAGAGCAAGGGCAAGAGAAGCAAGTTTACTTTGAAGTCCAGACTGCAAGTGCTTTCCCTTCCTTTTTGGTGGAAGTGTAAGAAGGCTTCCCAAACAAACAATTATGAAAAAGGCCTGCTTAACCTGGTTTTGCCTTCTGTCCCTCTGATCCAGATTTGGACAGGACTAAAGCAGTAATAGGTAGGATATGTTAATCCTGATGCAAGTACTTTCTAAACAATTTCTGAAGAAACCACTTTGGAGCTAGTGTTCAGGATTTGTGTCCTGAAACCCTGTGGATTTTGTAGCCCTGGCTAAAACATTGGTGGGAGGTGCTCAGCACAGTCCAGTGCTGCTTTGATGGATAGACTAGTGTGAAGGAAGGAGATGAGAAGCCAAAATAAAATGAATGCTATTAAATTGTAGCAGAGCTGAGCAGAAACAGTCTCTGGTAGGGCATGCCACAGAAGCGGGGGTGAGCCAGCTCTGGCTTAGCAGTTCCTTCTCCCCTTTCAAAAACAACCCCTCTTCACAGAGGCCAGACTGGGACTTAGAAAAGGAGAAAGGAAGGCACTGAGCGGATGGCGGAGCCTCTTGGGCTCCTCTCCAAGCTGCTCTATGACCCAAGAAAAAAATAAAATATCCTGAAGTGAAAGGAAATCCTGTAGCCCTGAGGGAAGATGATGAACAATTTGTGTGGCTTAACCCTGGCCCTCAATCCTCTTGACAAGCTGAATGCTGCTGTCGAAGGATAAGCTGTTTAACGTGCCCAGCCCACCTAAGCTTGCGTTCTCCATGGTGCCGAGGGGATGTGGAAGAGTTGATTGCTCCTCACTGGAGGGCCTTGGTTGTGTGCCCTCATGTTGGAGCAGCCTGGACATGAGATGCGGTGAAACGCTAGTGACTAGTTTGAAACACGCAGAAGCCAGAGATGGATTTATTTAAGTACTCACCCCTAATCCCTGTGGTTGTGTGTGCTCCTGAAGGCAAACGCTAGCACCGGTCGTGGCTGAAGGTGCAGGATCTCTTGCAGAGAGCTTGGGCGGGCAGGGCAGCCCCTGGGCTGCTCCTCAAAACAGCAGCTCTGGCATGTGCCTTTATCCTTGGAAGCTCTTGCCTTTTTGTGGTCACCAGTCACAATCAAGGGAGCTTTATACTGGAAACCAACTGAGAGGAGCTGAGCAGGGTAACCTGGTGTGGTGTCAAACTGGGAAGTGAACACACACGCAAGCTCCTGACTTCTTTCTGTCACGCTTTTCCTGTAGAGCATGCTTCAGTGTAGCATATCTGTGACTACCAGGCAGCAAAGTAACTCATATGTAAGAGTCAATGAAAACAGCTAATATCTGTTGTCTTAAATTTCAGGCCCAAATTGATCATTATTTGGGACTAGTGAACAAGAATGTCAAAGATGCGATGGCTAAGTGAGTTTTTTTTGTTTCATCTTTTAAATAATTAAGAGGTCTTGATATATGTGTGCTATTTCTGTATCTAACAAATACATAATGTACATTAGTCATGGGAGGGAAGTCCTTTATTATTTAAATAGTAGAATGTTTATGAAATCAGCTCCTTTCTTGCTGATGTAGTTGTTAATATCGGATGAAACTTGAGTCGCTCGTTTCTAATAAAAATCGATCGATATATTTGAAACCATTAGGCAAGGGGCGAATGAAGAGGAATTCAGCAGTCTTAGCAGCTTGAACGTGATAGTTGTGTGTTGCCGTGATAATTATCTTCAGGTTGGTGGGTTTTAAGAATACAGTCATACTTACCTTTTTTTTCCTTACTGAAATGCTGTTTTCCTCTTCTTACAGGATTCAAGCAAAGATCCCTGGGTTGAAGCGCAAAACTGAGTAAAAAGTCTCAAGCAACTTATCGATAGGAAGTTCATCTTTTAAGGGGAAAATACTCATCTGGATTTACATGGGGAGGGTCAGGGAATAGCAAAACCCTTGACATTGCAGTGCAATTTCACAGATCTTTATTTTTTAGCAACGCAGTGTTTGAGGAAAAATAACTGTTTTGACTGCCATGTGTTTCATCATCCTAAGTATTGTAAGCTGCTATGTATGGATTTAAAACTAATCATCTTTCTTTATCCTGTGTGCAGCACTGGCTAATACAAAAGATTTGAAAAAGCTGTACATTTTGCTTCATCAGAGGTAGTCCCTGCTGCGTTCAAGAAGAGGTAGTGCAGGTGGATTGGAGGGTAACACTTCCCAGTTTGTGCACTGTGTATGGTCTGTGTAGATTGATGCAGATTTTCTAAAATGAGATGTTTTAGAAGAATATACCATTTTAGCAAGTTTTGAAAAATCTTGCCTTTTTGGTATGAGTATAGCTGTATTGTGATTTTATTGTTTTATCAATTGCCAATATATATATGTGTTTCACAAAGCTTAGATCTTTCAGCTGCTCCACAGTGCTTCATACTTCAGAGAATTGACTGATTTCTGGACTAGCTCCATAGCACACAAGCTTGAAAAATTAAAATGTCTTGTAAACACTAGCATCTGTTTAAAAGAAACAAAAACGAATGGAAAAAGGAACCTCCACGTACATTTAAAAAAAAAGTAATAAATAAATTACAGCACACACTTTGTTGCACAAGCATAAAGTAGTTGATTTTAAGTAAATACTTCTACAGTCTCTCAAACTCTGATAATCTGTGGACCGAATATCTAATGCTGCAATTGTTGTTTGGAAACTTAAAACCTTGTTATGCAAGAAATTATAAATGCAAATTTATACACTTGCAGTTTAAGCTGTATTGAACTAAGTCTGTGGAATGCATTGTGAAATGTAAGAAAAAAATTAAAAAAAAAAACAAACAAAAAACCCAAGTATCAATAAAGCTTATAGACATAAAATAATATCGGTATTTTGCTTTCTTGAGGCAAGTTTAATATATTTGTGTTTATTTTGTTCAAATTCATAAAGTGATTAAATATCCATTGTACCTGGTGGTGGAAATAGTTTTTTTTTTCAGGTTTATAGCAATGTGGCTAGATGGATTTTTCATGGTATCTTCTCTTTTCATATGTGCAGTGTGAAGCGGTTTGTTCAGTTGTAGTTATATCTGATGTCCTGAATAGCTGTGTGTTGGCCGGTGATGCCCAGTTAGGCCTGTAGTTCGGGTAGCACAGATCCGTGCCTACAGCGAGGAGGCCTCCGCGCTGACTGCTGAGGCCTCCGGCGCTACCGCTGCTAGCTGTGCCGGCAGCTCAGCGGCCAGAGGCGACTGTGCAACTCCAGTTTCGTGTTGTGAGTCGGTTATTGAAAACTGTGAAAGATGAAATTTGAGGTTGTTTATGCTAAAAGAAGTAATGATCCTTGGTTTCTTTTATTTTGGAGACCACAATGTATACCATGCTCTAGTTTGAGGGTAATTATGAAGCAATTCCAATAACTTTTCAGATAAACTTGAGTCTGATGATTTAAAGAGAACTGGACAATGAAAACTTATATTCAAATTTATTTGAGACCACAGATTTTTAATTAATAGTATCTTGACCATTTAAAAATAAATTCATGCATTAATACTTTAATTTACAGTATAATACATCATCACTTCTGATAATTTTATACATAAAACCAAACCATATAAACATACAAATTGTTTTAAGTGTTTTCCTGACAGACACTATTGCTGTTAGATATTTTTCACATCACCATTTATTAATTCATTCTGCTGCACAACTGGTTTTATTCAGGATACAATCAATGTGAAAGGCAAACATTACAACATAGGCAAAAAAGGTGTTCACTAACATCACCACCTAACATGATTACATAGTATGATCAAGGTTTCCTTTTTAAAAAAAAAAAACTGCATAGGGACTCTTATTGTGTATCTGACAGACTGATCTTCTGTATAGTAATATAAGGCATTAATAAATTCCATTTAAAAAAAAATGATTCTTTGAGGTTGCTGAAGCACTTTTGTGCGTTAAATATACACTGATCCACTTCTTTTAATTGGATATTCCTTGCATCTGTCTTTTGCATGATACTCTGTATCCAGCAGCTACTTTCTTACTAAAACTCAGTGGGAGTCAGACTTGGTTTGCCAGAAAGTTCCCTAGTTCAAGGGAATTCTGAACTGGAATTAAAGCAGTATTTAACACTTCCTTTCAAACACTAAGTTTAAGTCAAAATGTTTTATTTTTGCCTTTACTACTTTTGATTAGAAAATAGTCTTTTTAAAAGAAAGGTCTCTTCAAAACATGGATGTGTTCCATGCCAGATGTGTCAAAAATCTGCTTCTAAACTATTTTGTTCAAAAAAAAAAAAAAAAGCAAAAACCTCCAAAAACTAACAACCAAAGTTTCTTTTTTTCTTTCTTTCTTTCTTTTTCTTTATTTCCCCCCCCTTCCCTCCTCTCTCTCCCATTCCATCCTCCTGGTAGCTTTGGTTTTTGACAAAATATTTGTTAACAAAGGTTAAACAGTGCTACTTGCTTTTTGTGACCAGCTGTAGATGGTCTCATAGTCTCCATGGGCAGGTAGAGGAGACTCCTCTTCTGCACGCACCTGCCTCGTGCTGCCTGCCCCCCCTTCCCAGCTCTGGCAGGGTGTGAGAGAAGCAGTGACAGAGGAGGCCAGCGTTGGCAAAGATGATGTTTTTCTTGGTGGTGGGTTACTTGCCTGGTACCAGCATGATTTATTTTCTGCTGCTGAGCAGGGTGGGCCTAGCTGCCAGCAGAAGGGTGGGCAGTTTTGGGGACTGATGTAGCAGCCCTTCATGAAGTTCACTTGGGATGTGTTCAGGAAGTCTGGCCTGAGGGCAGTGTGGGAAATAGTGATTCTTGGAAGCCTTCAAAGCACTTTTTTAATAGGCTTAGTAATTACTGCCTGTGAAAGTAGTTAAATGAAAAGCACATTTTCTCACAAACAGGGAGAATACAGGAACACTCAGAAAACTACTTCCTCATTATTTGTGTTTAAGCTCCCTGAAGCAAAGCGGTCCATGCTCCCTCTCTCCATGTTCCTTTTCCCCTTAACTCATCCTCAGCGCTGAGCTTCAAATTCTGGCTGCAATCTACTGTCATGAACCAAACGCAGACAGTTTATCAGGTGGTGTAACGTCCTCAGGAACTTGGCCTTCTAACAATGCATTTGTTCTTGCTCTTGGAAACATTCTGGAATTTGTTTGTCAACGTATTAACAATAGAAGCAGAAAAAATGGGTGATATAAGTACACATCTGGAAAAGATGTTAATGGGTAGCCCTCCTCTGTGAAAGTTATAGCACCATATGTTGAAAGCAGACATTGGTGGGAGGCAAGATTGTAGCCCATACTACTGGAAAATCGTTCAAAGGCACTTCATGGATAGAAAACTTTGCCAAATAAATATATTTAAAAACAAAATGGACTTCAAAAATGATACTTTCCTCCTTGGATTACTGAAAGCTGAAGTATGAATCCAGCGTACTCATTAAAAGCTTGCAGTTTACTTAATGCACCAAATTCTAAATTTGAGTTTTAAGCAGGTGTTGTAAAAACACCAACTTTCTTGAACACATGTTCAAGCACTGAATTTTGAAATTATGCAAATTAAAGGGCTCAGCATTTTCTTGGTGTGCTGCCTTTCCAGACATGGTTTGGAGAACATAGTATTAAGCAAAAGCAGCTTAGTGATTGAACTGTTCATCCCTTAGGCCTACGTGGGTTACAAAACTGTTCCCTTTTAAACTTCAGCTTCCTTCTCAAGGATGTTGGTCTTTCAGATGCAAAAGCACATTCTCTTTCAGTATGGCCACATCAGTAATCTGAAAATGTGCAGTCCATGCAGCATTGTATGGAAATCACAGCAGCCGAGCGGCTAGAGGCATTCATGGCTGTCCGGTCCAGAGCGGTCACTTGGTGGTGGCAGTAACAGCAGCAAGAAGATTTGTCTGATCAAAGACATCGCCAAACAAATACACTACAAAGAATTGACAGTAAAGTTATTTTTAAGTAACTTGCTGATCAACATATTATGCTAAGAGAAATGCGATTAGGGAACTAGCAATCAGGATGCTTCAAATAAATACTTGTAGCTCTTAATTGTGCTTTATGTAGAGTCTTCCTGTTAAATTTACACGTATCAAGTCATGGAATTAATGGTCAAATACTAGCGCTACAATGCGCTTTTCTCATAAGAGAATTAGTCATTATAACTGTTCCCCCCCACCCGTTCCATATGTGTGTTGTCAGTCAGTGAAGGACTGAAATTTGGGGAAAAAAACTATTATTTTACTTTGCATAGTTAAACTTCGGCTCAATAAATTGTCATCGGAACAATGTTGACAGAATTAAGCCAGCTGATAAGCTTCTAGCGGCATATATTACCTTCCCGACTGCAGGATGTGTGTTTAGGTAAATACGTCCTTTTGTTCCCATGCAACAACTTTGCTTGTCAATGCTTCCTGATCACTCCCTGTGCAATGCCTTTTCCAAAGAAAAGTTTCAATTTTTTTTTTTTTTTTTCCAAGCAGGAAAAAGAAAACATTTAATTTCTGGGGCTCCTTTAGTTCCACCATCACTGCACAAATGATTGTGAATGACACCTTTGAAAAACAGCTTGTCTAGTGCAATGGAAGAAGTGTTAAACTCACTGTAGGGTGTTGAACATTAAAAAAAAAAAAAAAGCCACTGACTTTATGGCCCTAAAATAATACAGTATCTAACCTTCAGGCTTGCTGAGTGCCGCTTAGCATCATGATACACAAGTCAGTATTTAGTTTTGTGTATCAGGAAAAGATGCATAGTCTTGGTCACTGGCAAAATGACTCAAGCCTGCTGAGTTTGACTTAGGTCAAGCTACGGTCTTGTATTTCCCTCTTAGGCAATTGTAACTACTTGAAGCGTTTTTCTTGATACTCATTTGTTACTGTTAGTCTCTGTGCCCTTTTATTTTTCCTACCTTGTTGCGGTTCTATTTCTACCCTTAGCTTTTTAAAAAGGATTTGTGCCACTCGCTATTTAACCCCATGCAGTTTTGTTCCTCCCCTCTCTGCTCCCTGCTAGGCTCGACAATAGACCTGGCTTTACTGAGCATTAGTGGAAGCTCCAATGCGCTTGCTCGCTCTGCCCCCCCCTTCTTTTCGTCTTCTTTTTTTCTCTCTCTCTCCTTCTCTTCTCTTCTCTTCTCTTCTCTTCTCTTCTCTTCTCTTCTCTTCTCTTCTCTTCTCTTCTCTTCTCGTCTCTTCTCGTCTCTTCTTTTCCTCTTCTCACTTCAGGAACCTTTCGAACTGCCTCCTGTCATTTGAACTGTTTCTTTCTAAATCTGTCTGGCCTTCTGTTCAGCTGAATTCCTGCCCTTCCCTTTGCACTGAGAGCTCTGGCCAGTTATTTCTGTGTGAGTGATGGCCGCGGCAGCTGTCTTTGTCTGCGGGGATCCTGCGCCAGCTGCCAGCCCCATGGGCGCGTGGCGCCCCGCGGCCCCACGGCCTGGCAGGCCCGCTCGCTGCCGCAGCTTCCCAGGCGCACGCTTAGCGAGTGCGGCAACAGTTGTCACTTAGGAAAAGCTGCCTGTTTCAAAGAGACTATCAGGATTTTTTTTTTTCTTTAGACACCTTTTATGGGTGTGGCAGCAGGCAAGGTTTCTTAGTATAGACAGGCATAGAAACTTGAAGTTAGAAAGTTAGTTATTGAAAGCATTACAAAAGAATGAATATGGCAATTCTAGCTACCGCTGTCCGGCCCCTGCTCTGAGTGAGCATCTGCTTTAGCTACAGCAGCACTGACAGGTGCGCGATAACCCTATTTTCAAAAAAAAAAAAAAAAAAAAAAACCTTGGCTTGCTGTGCCAAGGTAATTTCTTCCAGTATTTAATTTTTTTCATAGTTCAGATTTCTTTTTTTCTCGTATCCTGGCTGAATCATGTTAGCTGTGCTATGTCCATGGGCACCTATCAGTCACACTGATTGTAATGACCTGCTAGAGCAGAGGGCTGGTATGCCAGCTGCCTCTGTCCCTGGACTCAGTAATAAAAATAAAAATCTCCATTTCACCCCGTCAGCTGAGATCAGATTTTGTTTTTTTCTAAACACAGTGGGTTTGATGCACTCAGTTGCAGAAAGATGAAAGCAAACTAAAAAAAAAAATTCACAGCACGCTACATGCAGGAAAATATATGCATGGACAGACCGCACATGCAAAGCAGGAGATCTGCTTGCAATGCTGTCCTCGGGAGGAGCAATGCTGTAACAGGAGCGGCTACACCCTGGCATGCCCATTGCACTTGCCCTCTTTAGGGCCCTCCCCTGCCCTAGCTGGGCCCTGTGCATTTATGTGTTGCAGCACTGAGCAGCACCTTCTAGGTAGGGTTTTTTTTTTTCTTTTTTTTTCCCTGCACTTTTTTTTTTTCCCTCTCTGTAAAAGGTTGTGGCGGGATGGGGACCTGGGTGCTGCCACAGTACACAGATCTGGGGCGGGGGGGGGGGGTCAGGGGTTCAACAAGAGCATCCGAGGCTCTGGCAGGGGGGGGGG